ATTTTCTGCGTGATTAACTATTTACCAATGATGAACAGGTATAAACATCGGTTTTACAGTCACGCTATGAATAAGGAACTAATTTCCATTGCCAGATAATCGAATGTCTGGTTAAACATTCAGGTAAGAGTTCGCAGAGAATGTGTATATTTAAAATACACTCATGTCCATAAATTAAGGATAATTCGGAGTCACGCGGAAATCGAACTCTAAAATAAATATATCACCTGTAAAATCACTACACACATCTTCAAGAATCATATGCAAATTTCAGGAAGTAACCAGATGACACCGATGGTACGTCACAATGACGAGAGTGTAAGAGAGTGATATATAAGAAATACAGGCAAAGAAGTAAAATTGTTCGCAGGTGCTTTATAAACATTTCAGTGCAATAACCGAATAGTTATGACACAAATGACGCATTTGGATGATTTTTTACGTGGTAGAATTATGGGCCGTCTGGAATGTGGGCGTACCCAACTGGAAGTATCAGACGAACTTGGAATTGCCCAGAGTGTCATCTCCAGGCTTTGGCAACGATTCCAAGATGATGGTAATGTGAGTAGACGTTACAGTCAGCACAGAGTTACAACGCCGAATGAGGAGCGGTATTTGGCAGTTACTGCCAAATGAAACAGGCGGAACACAGCTTCAGACCTATCTCGTCAGCTCTCTTCAGCCACTGGTACGACAATTTCAAGGCAGACCGTGAACAGACGCTTAGGGCAGATTGGTCTATATGCTCGTAGACCTGTCAGATGCGTTCCACTTACTGCAACTCATTGTCGCCTGCGGTTAGCCTGGAGTTGAGAGCATGCATTGTGGGCACCGCAACAGTGGGCTTGTGGGATGTTTTCCGACGAGTCCAGGTTTAGCTTGCAGTCTGATTCTCGCCGGACTTTCATATGGAGAGCTCCAGGTACCCGTTATCACCAAGAAAACATCATTCAACGACACCGTTACGGAGCAGGAGTGCTCGTTTGGGGTGGAATTATTCTGGGTTCCAGAACTGACCTGCATGTTCAAATTGGAACGATGACAAGCTAAATCTATCGGGACATCATTCTGGAACAACATGTACGTTTGTTTCGGGGCGCCATGGGCGCACAATTTGTGTTTATGGATGACAACGCCCATCCTCACCGTGAAAACATCGTAAGCGAATGCCTTCAATCGAAGGATATCACCCGTATGGACTGCCCAGCATTCTCACCGGACTTGAATCCAGTAGAGCACGTGTGGGACATGCTTGGCTGACAAGTTGCAGCCCGTCAACCTCCTCCTACATGTCTACCGGAACTTCGGATTGCTTTTTGAGTGGTGTAATACCCCCCAAGATCAGATCGATAATTTGATACTCAGCACGCCTAGGCGTTGTACGGACTGTATTGCATCGTCTGGGAGACATACAATGTATTAACAATCATACCAACCATGTAGTAAATGGTTTTTTTTGTAAATAGGTTTTTTTTTATTTGCTCCAGGGAGAAAAAATCGCTAATTTTTTTAATAATATCAAACATATAGCATCTTTTTTTTTTTTTTTTTTTCTCTTTACCTTTTGTTTAATAAATAAACTTTACAAATAAGTCAAATTTGTTTTGCTTCTAACTCTTCCTTTGCCTGATTTTGCATTATCCTTAATTTATGGACATGAGTGTAGATCGCTAAATACCTGTCATATTGTATTATACAGCGGCGCTCAATAAAACTTTTATTACTTGCAATAAGCAAGTAAAAACGTATTTTTTAATTTTCTCTTATGTTGAAGTTCGCAAGTTTCATTTAGCTATTTAAGGAAGTTCTTGTTGGAACCCTTAACTTACCAGTAGCTTAGTTGTATAATATCAGATCGAAATTATTAACTGACCACTTCCAATATGCGTAGAAGTGCCCTTGTGATGCAAGAGATAATAATAATTTTTATGAAGAAGAATCAGTAAGTAAATGTAATTGTAAAATACATGGTAAAAGGAAAAAATAATTTCACAGAATGCAGCTTATCAACATCGGCTGATGTGCAGCTCTGTCATTGCTTATTCGAGTAGTTGGTATTAGCAAGAAGGCAAGCAGCTGTCTATGAGCACTCTACTCTGCTACGGCTTCTATAAGGAAACCGCTCCATTAAGCGCTTTCTGTCAGCAGAAGTGAAACTTGTAGAAATTCCTTACAATAGTCTGGTTCTGAAAGAAGCAAATGTTATAAATAAATTAAAAGTTTATTAGGGAGCAATAGAATTTAAAGTACGTGTATAAATGGTGAATTCGATGTACTAGGTCATTAACATCTCAGATGAATGTTACGTTGAATGCTTAAATTAAAGTAGATAATGAATAATGTTGCTAGATTTTGGTATATTTGTTAAATTAACCATGGACTGCATAAACCGTAGTATACGATGATTTGCCGTATAATGAAGCATGTTTACTAATCTTAGTGAGATTAGTGAAAAATTGCTATCGGAAGTAGATGAAAAACTTCTTAACTTCTTTTCTAATTCATTAAAGAAGTTAATAGAGCAGAACAACAGAAGAATCACCCAGAAAGGGAGGTTACAAACAAAAGTAATATGTTAAGTCGTTCAAAATTATAATCACTAAACTGTTATATGGAATTTGCCTTTACTTTTTTGATTCATTCTCGTATGACATTTTTATTTTTTACATTTGTCATAAATAATAGTACATGATACTCCAAAAAATGAATATAGCCTTGATTTCCTTAAATAATCAGTCATTCAAAATATCAGTCAGGTACTTTATAAGGTATTTCTCCCGCCTTTTTTGCGTGCCTTCGTGGTGTAGTGGTCTTCAAGCTGGGCGAATATCCAGAGGTCTGTGATTCGATTCCCGGCCAGGGCGTTGCTCATTTTTTCCCATCTCCTGCTTCCAAAAATTATCCAATATCTCTACAGTGGCGCACAGACTAAAAGGTTGGTGGTTGATGATTCTCCACACCCAAGATTTGGCGAGTGGTTACCCTAAAAACCACAGTCGCCCTTTAAAAGGGGGTATATAAGGTATTTCTTCCACCTTCTAAGTGCGCCTTGGTAGACTAGTGTTCTGCACACTGGGTGCTTACCCAGAGGTCCGTGGTTCGATTCTCGGCGAAGGCGTTGCTCATTTTTCACATCTCCTGCTTCCAAAAAAATACCTAATGTCTATACATCTTCTACTGCTAAACTTTATCAAAATGAGATAGCAAATTTTACGAAAAAGGCTTTTAACAGCGGGATTTTGAAAATACATAATTTAACATTTTAAAGAGTCTTTGTAAGGCGAAATTTAAAGTCAGTAAAAGTTTTGTTAAATGTTCAAATTTGCTAGTAAAGTTGTACTTCAATAACACAACTTTAAGTTTTTTTTAGCAAAATCTCTGTTTAAATTTTTTCTCATGCATTACATCAGAAAGACTCTTTCTTTTATATTACCAAAAGCATACGTATGATCATTAATTATAAGGTTGTTTGGGAAAATGTGTAGCGATTTCAAACTGCAATATAAAAGCCTTGATATTTTGTCTTTACTAGTGTGAAGAATTTGGGAAAACTTGTAGTAGCTTAAGAAACGCTAAGCTTACATCAAGTTTGACATTAGCGAACATAATTAATAGCTGATGATATAATTCGACTATTACACTATCTACCAAGAAAACTAGAAACTCCAGCCGTTCTCAAAATTTTTAATTAAAATCATACCTCTATTAATGTTTGCTTTCTGTAAGAGAAGGTGTAGTATTCAACTTCTCTTTTATACTGTCGACAGATATATTGCTTATTACCTGTATAGTGTTTCTGATATATATTTAAATTTAGATTAACTTATAGCAATGTAAGCTTGAAAATACAAAAAATATGTGCTTCTATTTGAGCTTTTGAACTGGTTTATTATGTTTATAATTCTAAGATTATGCGTAATAAATATGATCCGTGAAAGTCCGTGTCAAGTCCATGATTGAGACACTTCTCCATATTCAGTATTAACATCGCCATATTCTTTGGTTACATCATTTAAAAGTTTTATTACATGCAGAATGATTCAGTAAAGTTCCAGGAACAAAATTAAAGGAAGAAATTGTAACAAATATTTCGTTACAAAGTTTCTTAATTTTTGTGAAATTTGAAAAGCTCTTGATTTGGAAAATTTCTTCCAGTCTCATAGTGACTGCATAAAATAAGACATTAAATAAGAGCATAATTTCAATGAGAAACATCGCGGCAATAATGTGTTAAAAAGGAATTTCAGTTACTGTTAATATTCTTCTAATAATAAACAGAGCTATGATTTGAATTACTTATTCAATCATAGCATTGAATGATAAAAGATAGAAAAAGAAAATGTTGATGCGTTGTAATACTCGTAGTAATGTTTTTGGGATATAAATGCTTTAGGCATTTTACAGAGCAGCTGAAAATAATTTCACGAATTGCACTATTTGTATATTAAATTTACTACCTTTGAAATGCTTTAAGTCTACTTCTTAGTTGTTTTAAAGCATTCAAAAATTTTGGTTGTTTGAAACATTAATGCTTTAGTTTTAGTTATACGATTATATTTTATTCAAAATTGAATAAAGCTAGGCTACAAAAGAAATTCGAAAATGATTTCGAATGAATAAACTAATAGAAGAATAACAGTTTTATTTTACTTAAAAAATCTACATAGGAAAATTTCTGTGATATAACCCAGAAATAGAACATTATCCCATAATAAACAAGGAAATCACTGGAAGTGTCATCACCTACCCTTTGATAATGAAATCGAATAAGAGTTAAATGAAACATTATATTGAAAAGGTTATACAAGTTTATAACGAATGAATAACATGTATAAAAGAAAATTTGAAGCTACTTAGCTAATTTTACAGTCTTTTTCAGAATTTACGTTAAATTGCATTAAGTTATACTCATGTATACAGAGTATATGGGGAGTAATACAGAGTCACTAAATAGTACACAGAGAAAAATATTAAAAAAACACTATATGAAATCAACTTACCCAGGAATCCTTCTAAAATTCCAAAAGGCATAACAGCCACACATACTAAGAGATCCGCTACTGCCAAGGATAGAAGAAAATAATTGGTGACGTTTTGTAGTCTTCGTTCCAAGCAAATTGCCAAGCATACCAGAACATTTCCCAATCCTCCGGCAATCACCAAGATGCATAAAAGAAGAAATAGCCAGTTTTTACTGTCGGGTTCCAGATTTTCCTCCGGTCCGAAGGAAATTGACGTATTGGCAACGGAACAGGAAGACAGAGTACAAGATTCATTGGCATTGCGTAATTCGTGTTGAAAGTCACTGGTGATGTTAACATCCACGAAGACATTAGTTCCTTCATAATAAGACGTATCGATCATGGACACATTATCGATATTGTATATGGTGACGACAGGTGCACCGGATTTAATAATGCTTCTACCCAATCCTGGATCAGAGGCTCTAGTCCGAAAGCTAAATGGGAAAACAGAGTCATCAAACGAAGTTCCTGGATGATACATATTGCCACTTTCTAAATATACATCCATCTTTTAGTTTATTAAAGCATGGTGCAAGAAATCATGTACTGATGAATATCTACCGAGGTTGTGCAGCTAATTAGGCAAGCATATTTGACCACAAGACCACTTGATTATAGTTCAAAACAACCTACGAAAGAAAAATATACTATGTTAGATGTACTATGTACTACTAAGAAAGAAAAATGTGTTAGAATACAGTGTACGTTACAAACTAAACAGAAGACAGTATAATATTTTGAGCAAATTATATTTATTATTCTATGAAGGTAAGCGTGCATCACATATAAATTCAGCCAGTCCATATCTAAACCGAATGTATATAACTAACCCATTTTTTATGTATACAAGAACACGTTTTATGTATAGACAACAGTTACTGAGTACGCAAGGGCAGATGAAAGTTTTCAACAATTGGAGATGAGATAGTTCTTGAGATAATAGATTCTGTAAAATTTCACAATAGTCTGCTTCTAATTAATCAAAGTATAATAAAGTTTCATTGATTGGAATTCTTGCTACATGAAGAATACTTCAAAAATTAGAACTTCCATTAACAGAAATAAATTTAAAAAAAAAAAAAAAAAAGGTTTAGGACATATGTTTATAGAAATAAGCTCTCCAGCTCTGTACGACATAAACCAGAGGATAATTTTAATTAAACGTTTAACTATACATTCTTAACTTAATTGCTAAAGAATATTCGCATTTAATTTTTCCCTTGCTTCTAGAATTTCTTACGTATTTTTTAGTTTTCAGTAATATATGCAGTATTAAAAAATCTTATATCTAAATGTGAATTTCAAGGAAATGGTTCACAAGAAATTTTTTTCTCAGATTGAAAACAAATATTCATTTATTTATATGTAGGCTGTGAGAGCCATTGTAGCTGTCTTAATATTGGCAGGAAATATCATTACTTAGTATAAAAGTTATTGAATGATTTAGCTGTTATTCAGAACAGGACGTATACAAATGATGAGCATACTTTAAATAATTTACGATGTTATAAAATACCTTATTAAAAGCCTTTTTATCACACAGTCAGGGTATTTTATCAGTTTTATGATCACAATATTTTTTAAATATTTAATCCTCTGAATGGCTCGGACGTTTGGATTTACTTATGAAGAACTGTATTTAAACAGCCATAGTTTTGCTAAATTAGTTTAATCAATTATTTTAGTCTTTCGTTTAGCATCTTTCGATCATTTAAGGAAATAAAAAACAAATTATTTTAAATAGTAAGTTAATGTATATCATGTGATAAAGAGTCTCATGACTGTATAAAAACAATCATTGGCATTCAGGAGGGTAAACACAGTAAACTATCAGTCATAATCAATGAAATAAATAAGTACGTTCTTTGTTATTAACATCATGTTATGCAACACAAGATAAATTAAGCAGATAGGATGTTCTGGTTCAATGTTCAACTTTAAAATCCTTAAAAAGGAAAACTAGTGTTTAAGCTTTTTAGGCGATGAAAGAAATATTTTGAACGAATAAATACGGCCGATTTGAGAACGTAGCTGAACGTTATGGGATTTGATAATAAGACTCTTGATCCTGAAACATGGTACGCAGATCCATGCAATTGGTAAGACCATACGGAATTTATCTATTCATCTTTAAGGCGTAGTATTGAATATATGTATAATATATATATTTTGAAATACGAGAATGTTAAAGATTTATTGCAAACGTTTTCGAAAACGTGATACCAAGATTTCAGACGACCTGGCTGAACGTTATGATTGATCGCGTTGAAATCTGAGGCACTTTACTTGCAAATTTATATTTAGGAAGTCTCTAATCTGTTTCTCTAATTTTTAACAAAGGATAATTTAGTTATCAATTGTAGTGACTAATTAGAAGTTAGTTTTGAAATTGAAACCATCTGATGGCATAGTAATGAAAATCCAAAAGTTAAAAAAGAAATTAACTTTTATAGAGCAGCATTTTACGACACGCTTGACAAGGACAGAGGATATGATAAATAGACTGTTACAGGATATTTATTTAAAGGCACGGAAAAACAAAGATTTACATTATGGAGTAAACCATTTGATTGAAAAAATTACAATCAATGAGCCTAAGTTAGTGAAACAGAATCATCAATAAATATCAGTAAAATGCAAAGTAACCATAATTTAATGATTTCGGTTTTGAATACGTGGTAACAAATGAAGACAAATTCGTCAAAAGCCTGGATATATTTCTTGAGAGTATTGTAAAATGTGAAAGCAATAAATAAATATTTATAAATTTGAGAGAGCACCTAATACATTCTATCGAGAAATACTTTCTTTTCCCACAATAAATGGCGTCTTTTGTCAGTATAGGAGGAATGAATAACTTTTTTTTGAAACGGTTTATTCACAGATGCTAAGGATTATGTCTGTTGTCATATTTTTACAATTTGTTTTGCTTTATCTTACGTGTCTTTCGTAGTCTTTAAGGTGTTATGCTCTATCTAAGCAGTTTCAATAAACACTTCACACTTCTGAACCCAAATCCATTTTCAGCATGAATTTTTCCTGTAGAAGAACCTAAAATGATTGTTGTAGCAATGCAACACTAAAAAGATTTCTCTGTACGTGTGAGGGGATTTTGCTTTCCCTATATTTGTTATTTACATTTATTACTGCAGAATATGTTTTATTTCTCGACCATGTTTTACGAAAGACTGAGGTTATACTGCGATTTAGTTTATTTCATGAATTCCTTTCACATATTAGCACTTTGAAAAACATTTGGTGCAGAGGCTTCCTTTTGTACAGCTATAAACGTAACGCTTCATGAAGGATACACATTGCGAGCTTTTACGGTAAGTCAGAGAAAATTCGACGTTATTTGCAATAACTGTTCTGTTCTTTGATTGTGGTGTTACTAACTATAATTTTAATTGCGATTCTATCTGTGACATTCTGAGGTTTTAAAATGTTTCTGAGTCTATGTGGTAGCAGTTTATATTTTGATAAGGCGACAGGTGGTCTACGCTGAACTAACCTTCAGAAACAGAATTCATTTCGAGTTTAAGGCTGTCAGGATTATGGATGAGTTCAATGTTCATTGCTTATTCAGCTGAAATCTAGACTAATATGTAAATAGGTAGTTGGAGGAGAAAACTTAAATACGAATTTACAAGTAATGCGGATTGAATGTGTGTCTCTAATTTCCTTTTAGAAATAATCCAACAATGAAGACCGCAAAACAGTGTTTAGAAAAAAGAGAAACTCGTGCAGACCAGTCATTTTATAGGTCGCATAGACAAAGATTCTTTTCAGAAATAGCTTATTATATATGACTATTGCTTGTAGACTAAGCTTATTCTTTCTTTAAATCTTCTACCTCAAAGGTTATGGCTTTGACAGTGCTGGTGGAATCCGAAAATTATTTCATCTCTAAAATTTTAACAAATCTATAAGTTTGTTTCTATTAACCTTGAGGTATGGAATTTTGCCCCTCCGAAGACTCAATACAGATAAAGAACTCATAAAAGTGTCTTACAAGCAGAGGGACTAGGCGGAAGGAACATCTCAGTTAAAATCATTGTACGGAAGCACTTCATACCTGAATGGTAAAACCACGGTCCACATCACGTTAAATGAGATGAACTTAAAAAAACTTTGATGGGTACAAATAAGATATTCTGGTACTGACGTTCATTCTTTTGCCAATATGAACTTAAAAAGCGGCGGAGATGAGTTTAATAAACGAGAGATTTTCTGTCGATTAATGAGTATTTGTTTTGGTTCCTTGAAATCTGAACATAATAAGCAGTTGAATTTGAGTTTAATAAGTGGCAGGTATTGTACTTTAAGAACTACAGAATGAAAAAAAAAAAAAAACTAGAAATTTAAGAATACATTTTATAAAATTACACCTACTTATAAAATTAAAAAAGCGACAATCTTATGTTGGGCGTAGATTTAGTCAAGAATTCAGTTCTTGACTGAATTCTTGCTAATTTTCTGTATATATTAAGGAGATAAGAATGAAATTCAGTAAATGAAGTACACAATCAAATCTCTTGAAGCTTTTCTCTCAGCATAATTTGATAAAAATTATTAGAGTCACAATATAAGGAATGTTTTGGTCCCTATAACGCGTTCTCGTCCTGCAACTAGTAGCATGTCTGGCTCGCTATCAGAAGATTCGGAGTTAAAACATAGTCAAGGGTATGGCTGATCTTTCGTGTTTCCTGATCTTAAAACGTTAATAGATGTTAGCAGTACACATTTTAATTAATATTTTAATACTAAACAGGTTGAGTAGACCTGTTCAGCTAGTAGACACACAATGTTTCCCATATAGCACTAATATACCATAGCATGATGTCCTACGTCATGCCTGCTGAAAGATTTATTAATAATAAATTATGTATATTAAAAACTATTGAAACTATAGGAAGAGTTTTGAGAAAACGCAGCGGAGTCAAGGAACTTTCCGGAGGAATTTTCTAGATAGAATAATAGAAAATTGTACCATTTAGGACTGCTGTGTAGTAGTAGGACTGTGCCGTGTAATGAATGTTTCTATTAGCTATGAGTAAACCTAATCTTTCCAAAGTTGTGAACTGAAGGTTGCAAAGTGTTGAACTGCACTTCTGGAAGAACAGCATTTTAAGTATACATTATATCTTTTTACGTAAAATTCCTTTACGTCATACCAAGTTTACAGAAGAATTATATTATTTTACCATAGACTGTTGTAGCAAAGGAATTTGAAGACGACTTTCACGTTCCAAGAAAAGCGATGAAAGCAAAAATATTTGTTCAGCTTTTGTATTATACGGTAGTGTTGCGTACATAATTGTCTGATCGCGTTATAAAAAACCAGGTGAATTATTTTTCCGATTTAAGAAAATCTTAATTTTAGTTAATCCTGAATTATTATTTTAATGGTTTAATTTAGAGGAAAAAACAGATGCTTCTAAGAATATTGCTACGAATGTACAGGCGCGGTGAGGTAGCTTCCCCGCAAAGCAGTTTTAGGGTTGCCATAAAATGGCAAGGGAAGGCAGGATTGCCACATTTGGCGAGAAATTGCCCATTTGGCTCATTTGGAGA